TTGCATCACTAAATAAGAAACCATTCCCTGTGAAATAGTCTAATTGAATTCCTGATGGGATGGGTCAGCTTTATTGTTTTTCAAAAGAAAGCTACAAGACGGAGTGGGCTTCAAATGGTAATGAAGCTCTCAAATATTTTTGCATTTTTGTATAGTGGACATAAAACATTTGAAAAACTAATAATAAAATGTTTACGAACTCAGACTAATAACAAAATACATTAAGATCTTAGAAGTGATAGATTAGTTGAGTCTAACTCACTTTCTCTCTGACCAACCAGAAACTGTGTCCTTAACCCTTTTTAATATGTTTAACACTATCTTACTTTTAAAATTGTTACTGGTTCACTTCAATTGCCACAGTGCTTCAGGTTCTGTTCTTTTTTTTTTTTTTACTATGAGACATAAAATACATAAATAGCTTTAAGTGTCAATTCTCAAACCTTTAAAAAAAACTGTTATCACCTTCTAGTTGAAAGTGGACTCATTGATAACAGAGACTTGGTGACAAGTAAAATAATGAGAATGGTACAAAAATTTATGTGCAATGGATCTATCAAAGGGTTTGTTCTTTGATAGGATTCATGGTCTGTAAAATGAAAGTGTCCAGAATTACAGATCATTGTCCTGTGGAGCCAGAGAAAGGACTTGCATTGTTTGGTCAGTTTTCAGTTCAGAAGGAAGACCCTCATCTCCTAGCTGCAGGTCACAGACTGTGTTTTTTGAGTCACTAGTTTAAAGCAACAGAACTGATCTGTGTCAGACTTGTTCAGTGCAGGAAAGAAGTGACCCAAGTGAGACTGGAAGGCAGTTTGCTGTGGCAGGACAGTGAAAATTTTGGGGACACAGATGGAAAGGCTACGATACAGACTGCAAATGAATACAGTGTTACAGGTTTGGCTTTTAAATATTGACAGGCCTGAATGGTTTTCTTTTTATCCTGTGAAGGCCTATCTGTGCCTGTGTATTTGGGGGAAGAGGGAACAGGCAGTGAGAGGAGGGAGATGGAAGAAGAGTTGAGGAGAAGATAAGAAATTGCCAGGGAGACAATCAGATCATTTGTCAGTAATAATCATTTTGTCCTCTCTTTTCAAAATAGGTATTTATGCATTTTACTTCCCCTCTTATCTTATTTCAGAAGTAAATAACAGTAGAGTGAGCATATTTTTTTTTCTAATCCTTGATAAGGAAATGCCTCTGAGTTTTCAGCATTAAGTAAAAAACAATTGCTTTTGCTTTAAGGTAAATACTCCTTATCAAATGAAGTGATAATTGTTCATGCAATCATTTGAGAATTATTTATCGAGTGCTTCCAACATTGTAGGCAATCTTCTAGGGGCTTGAAATATTCTTCTGAGTCTAGTTTACTAAAAGGTTTTTCAATGTATTTTTTTAAAATATGGACTGAATGCTGAGTGTTATCAAATATCATTTCTATAATTGTCTTAAAAACAGTTTTTCAAAAAAATTTCCAATATGTCATAAATTACATTAATACATCTCCTCATATTAAATCACTCTTACATTCTTACAATAAAATAGATTTGGCCATTAAAAACAAATGTTCTGTCCTGGCTGGTTTGGTTGAGCATCTTCCTGTACTAAAGGTTGCAGGTTCAATTCCCTATCAGGGCACATGCCCAAGTTGCTGGTTCAGTCCCTGATAGGGGGCGAGCAGGAGGCAACCGATCCATGTTTCTCTCTCACATCATTTTTTCTCTCTCCTTTCCTCTCTCTCTCACAAAAAAAACACCCAAAAAACAAAAAAAACCAATGAACATGTTCTCAGGTGAGGATAAGAAAGAAAAAAAAAAAGAAAAAAAATGGTTATCCCAATAAACACTCTCATCAGACAAATATTTTAGTACTTTTTCCTTATCTTCTCTCTAAAATAGATTATCAGTCTTTTCAATTTTAGTTAATATTATTGTTGATAAAAATTTGCTTCTTTTCTTGTGATATATTTCTTGAGCTTTTTGCCCCTTTTATAATTGGGCTATTAATCTATTTGTTTTTGGTTTGTAGGAATACTTTTTGTGACTATTACTTTCATTTGCTGAATATTTTTCCTTAGCTTGTTCTTTGTCTTTTCCTGTATTGAATTTATTTTTGTATAGATAATTTTAATTTATGTGGTAAAGTTGATATCAGCCCTTAATTACTTCCCTGCCATCCTCAGAAAGACTACTCACCCCTTGAGCTAATTAAAAGATTTACTCATTTTCTTATAGTACTTTTCTGTTTTATTATTTACATTTAAATCTTTGTTTCCCCTGGAATTTATGCTCTAGTTGTTATATAACCATCAGCTTAATTTTCCCCTCAAGTGGGTACCCCATTTTCCCACAGCATTAATTTAATAGTTTGTCCTTTTCTTTCTATTCAAAATGTCACCTTTACCATATGCTAAATTCACAACTACCTGTTCTCCTCCATTTATTTACCTGTTTTAAAAACCGTACTATTTCAATTACTAAATCTTTATAGTAAATTTTGATATTTGATAGGAAATTTTTCCTTTTGTTCTTTTTAAAATTGACAAGGGTATTCTTACACATTTACTCTTCTATGAATTTTGGGATCCATTTTATTTTGTGTTTCATGAAAAGTCTTGTTGGGTTTTTTATTTGGAGTGTGCCAGTTTTATATAATATTTGGAGGAGAATTAAAAGGTCCACAAGATTCCCTTCCCTTCCATTAGCATGATTTATCTCTCCATTTTTTTCAGGCCTATGGTTAAGTTTTTTCTCCAGTAGTTTTGTTTAGTTGATTCTCTCTCTCTCTCAGGCTACCAATTTTCTTCAAGCCACTGGTTATCCTTGGCTGTACATGTGTTTTTATGCTGATTAGAACGGGCCGCCAATGTTTATGTTCACTCAAACTACAGATCCCCTGCACAGACTTGGGGGTCTAGGCTTTGTGGTAGTGCGTCTGTGTGTCTCACAGGTGGACTGTCCTTTGGTCCATATGGAAGGGTCCCTACGATTGCCAAATGAAGATGCCTTTACAGGTGGGGTGGGGAGATGTGTACCTTGTGTGTTTCACTCCTGAGAAGAGCTGGATCAGGCTCCAACATCCATAATAGATTAGTCAAGCACAACTTTCCCTTCGCTAGACTTAGGAAGTAGTTCTCGACGTTCTGGCTGAGGGCAGTGCTGCTGACAGCTGTTCTGTGTGCACCAGGCAGAGGATGGACTGCCTGGCTTAGCTGTCAAAGGCAATTCTTTACTTAACTACCTAAATGCTGCCCCACGGTCCCTCTAGCTTCTGTTCCTGCCAATTCTGAGCCTGGAGTTTTTTTGGCAGGAATGACCCCTACCTCTCCTAAAGCTTCTCCTGTGCTTATTTTGAGTTTGTTTTTCTCTGCTCTGGTTTATTTGTCATTATGCTCGATTCTGCTTTTTATCTTCTAGAAAGCCATCACATTTCTGATGAAAACATTTCTTACTTCAGTATTGCCATGATTAATGTTTATTAGTATGGATTTACTATCATTTCAATGAAAATTTTATGTGCCTGAGCATATGTATGATTGGGGAGGAAACATCTAAATCAGAAATCTGGAATTTAGAAAAGTTCTATTTTCTAACATGCTACCTTTCTTACATAAGAAATTAACTGAGGTTTATATATTGTATATAAACTGGTCACCTTTCTTAACTTCCTTTTTATTTCTAATAACTTTATCAGTTCATTTCTTTGTGGTTTAGGAGTTGCTTTCCATTGATTTAATCATTTCAATCTGCAGATTCTAGACTTTCTTCTTCTTAGGAACGTTTTCTTCTGAAATTGCTTCTGCCTCATCTATTCTGTTGTCCCATTCTGGAAAAAATATGTGTACATATAAATACATACGTATGATTTGTATCTTCTTTTCTCTTATTATTATTTTTCTTGCCTTTCCTGTACTGAGTTCTGGAGTCACAGTGACATTTATTTTTTTTTATTTATTTTTATTTTTTATTTTTATTTTTTTTTGTTTACAACAGTTTTATTCATAATTGCCAAAATTTGGAAGCAACCAAGATGACCTTCAATGTGTGAATGGATAAATTATGGTACACCCAGACAATTGAATATTTAGTGCCAAAAAGGAGTGGGCTACCAAGCTGTGAAAAGACAGGGAGAAACCTTAAATGCACATTGCTGTGAAAGAAGTGACTATGGCCGGAACCGGTTTGGCTCAGTGGATAGAGCGTTGGCCTGCGGACTGAAGGGTCCCAGGTTCGATTCCGGTCAAGGGCATGTACCTTGCTTGTGGGCACATCCCCAGTAGGAGATGTGCAGCAGGCGGCTGACCGATGTTTCTCTCTCATCGATGTTTCTAACTCTCTCTCTCTCTCCCTTCCTCTCTGTAAAAAATCAATAAAATATATTAAAAAAAGAAAAGAAAAGAAAGAAGTGACTATGAAAAGGCTACGGTATGATTCCAATTGTATGACATTTTGGAAAAGACAAAGCTATAGATACAGTAAAAATATCAGGGGGCCAGGGATTGGGAACAGAGAATGTCAAATAGGAGTACAGAATGTTTAGGGCAGTGAAACTATTTTTGTATGATTCTATAATAGTGGCTACATCTCTATACATTTGTCAAAACTCATAGAGTGTGAAAGAGTGAACCCTAATGTCAACTACGGGCTTTCAGTGATAATGATGGGTCAATGTAAGTTCAACAAATTTACCATTCTGGTGTAGGGTGTTGATAGTAGGGGAAATGGGGGGGATGAGAGACAGAATTTGGGAACTCTTACTTTCTGCTCAATTTTTCCAAAAGCCTTAAAGCTGCTTTAAAAATCTATTAATTACAACAAAACCATATTCTACATAGCTGAACACCTGAAGCAGCAGTGGCAAACCTCCAATATAGAATTTAACATTCACATCTGTACTCAAGGCATCAGGAATGCTGAGGGTGTCCAGGGCAGAGCACAGTAATCAGTGGGACACAAATTAATTTAGTTGTGAGCTCTCCACCATTTCTTTTGTGTTGAGAGTGTTCAAACCAGGTTACTTTTTCTCTTCCTCATTTTAGCTAATTTCTCCACCATCCTTTTATTCCTCTTAACACAGTCAGGGCATAACATGTTATCTTCTAGGTCTGGGGATGGGAAAGTACAGGCCGGTAAAAGTAAGAGAGAAATCATCTTCGTGGGAGTGTCAGGCACCCAGGTCTGACCTGCGTGGAACTGCAGGCGAACCCAACCCTTTTTGTCTGCCAAGAGATGTCTGCCATGGACCACACACCACCTGACACCAGATGTTTGCAGCAGAAAATTCTCAACAGAAATAGGAATGCTGTATGAATTCGCAGACTTAGGTAGCGAGCCTCTTGCAGCAATTCTTGACCATGCTGCCAGCATGGCCTCACGAGCTGAAGTTATCACTTCCACTGTATTGGTCACTTCAACTGTACTGGCCACTTCAACTGTATTGGCCACTTCAACTGTATTGGCCACTTCAATTATACTGGTCATCTCAACCGTATGAGTCTCTTCCTCTCTTTTGCTCATCTGATGACTTTTCTTACTCCTTGATCTCTTGGTCAGTTTCCCCGAACATGACTGCAATGTGGCCTCCTCTGGTGTTTCAGCAACATTCTTTACATTGTCTCCATGCTTCCTATTCACTTGCTTTTTTTCAAAATAAGCGTGTTCGCTGAGCCTCAGATAAACCTCTATTTTCCTACCATCGGTACTCAAATTCAATTGTTGGCACCAGTTCCGCAAAGTGTCGTGACGCACTTTATTAAATGATGGCAAATTGGTCGGCAAGGGAAGGATTGGTTTTGGGCAATCTTTGAATTGTTCATTCATTTGAGGAAGATTAACTTTATCGCTTGTCCCAGGCGCTGTCAGTTTGCTGTCTGAGGTTGAAGAAACACTTGGTTCCATTTGATGTTCATTATGTTCCTCGCTTATTGGAACCAATGTGAGTATCACATTTTCTTCTTCTAATTCATCCTTTTCGCTTCTTGAGTTTGCCATTTCCAGGAGAACTCAGGGGAAGGCAATGGCAGCAGTGCTGAGGATACGTGCCGTTTGCTCCATTTAACCACCACAGTGACATTTATTAAAAAGTGTATATGCAGCCCAGCCAGGGTGGTTCAGTGGTTGAGCATTGACCATACACCAAGAGGTCACTGGTTTGATTCCTGGTCAGGGCACATGCTTGGGTTGCAGGCTAGATCCCTAGCAGGGGTGTGCAGAGGCTTCTCTGTTTCCCTAGCAGGGGGTGTGCTGTTTCTCTCTTATCGATGTTTCTATATCTCTCTTCCTCTTTCTCTAAAAAAATATCGATAAGAACAAATTTTAAAAAATGGAAATGCAGTTTAGTTATGACAGCAGCTTTTCCAAAGCAGTAATTCCTGTGAGGGAGTGCAAAGTGGCTAGCCCTGGGAGTGTGCAAACGGCTGAAAATGGGACTAGCTGCCGCTAAAACCAACTGCTATAAAGAGCCATTGCGGAGGCAAGGTAGAACAGAAAGGAGAAAGCCCTTTGTCCCTCCTCCAGCCTCACAGTCTCCCTCTAGTGACCTCTACTGGTGAAACCTTGCAGGAAGCCGCTGGCACAGGAAAAATGTTTGTAGAGTCCCAGCCATAGCATCACAAGGCTAAGTAGGGAAGGGAGGAGGGTTTGGAGGTGAGAGATACCAGTTAATATCCTGCAAAGTGACTGTCACTGAGGGTCAGATGTGAAGTGGACCAGTATTAAGGTAAATATTTACATTCATAAGAGACACACTAGCTAACCCATGTCATGGAAATACTGTTTATGGGCAAGATGGACAAATAGCGCAATGGAACAGATAGAGTACAGAAATAGATGTGCAGTTACATGATTTGCCATAAAGCTGCTAGTGCAGTTCAGAAGATAAAAGATCACTTTATAATAAGTGGTGTTGGATGAAGTGGTATCTATTTGGGGAAAAACGAATCTTGAACTTGACCTCACACCATACATAAGAATTAATTCAAGGTGGGCCATAGGTCTGAATGTGAATAGTAAAACAATAAAACGTCTAACAAAGGAAAATGCCCATGGAGTAGGCAAGATTTCTTAAGGCACAGAAAGTACTAAGCCATAAAAGAAAAGAGAAAGAGATAAATTGGACTTCATTAAAATTAAAAACCTCTGTTCATCAAAGGACATAATTAAAAGAGTTAGTGGGCAAGCTGCAGATGTGGGAAGTTATTAACAATACATACATTTATATGTATATATAATACATACATTTGTATTATATTCATAACACGTACATTTATATAAATACATACTAGTACATTTACATTTCAGACAAAAGACTCATATACAGTATATATCAGTGGTTCTCAACCTGTGGGTCGCGACCCCTTTGGCAGTCGAACGACCCTTTCACAGGGGTCGCCTAAGACCATCCTGCATATCAGATATTTACATTACGATTCATAACAGTAGCAACATTACAGTTATGAAGTAGCAATGAAAATAATTTTATGGTTGGGTCACAACATGACGAACTGTATTTAAAGGGCCAGAAGGTTAAGAACCACTGGTATATATAGATATTAAACACCTATAAGTCAATAAGGATAAGACATATAACTTAAATGAAAACCACAGTGAGAAAATAGTACAAACCCAGTAGATTGGTAAAATGAAAATACTGAAAGTGTTGGTTAGATTGTAGAGCAGCTGGAGCTGCTGATGGGTTCAACCACTTTGCAGAACTATTTGTTGATATCTAGTAAAGCTAAACTAATCCAGCAATTCTACTTCCAGGTATATATCCAAGTGAATTCAGTGTATATATCCATCATAGGGTGTATGATGGTTGTTTGCAGCTCTAGTCATAATAGCTCCAAACTGGAAACAGTATAAATATCCAACAATATACAATTTGCTTTTGCAAAAAAAATTGGCAAAAGCAAATTATGGTATATTTATAAAATGGAATACTATACAGCAATAATAAGAAAAAACTAATATATAATAGCAAGAATAAATCTTAAGAACATTCAGTTGAAACCAGACACAACAGTGTGTATACTGTGCATTCACATGCATGAACTTAAGGACAGTTAAATATAACCGGTGATGAGGAAAGTCAGAATAGTGGTTGTCATTGTGGGTCCTGCACTGGGAAGAGGCACAGGGAATTTTCTGGAGTGTCTGAAATGCTGTATGTCTTTATCTGGTGGTGGTTACCTAGGTTGCATACGTAAGTAAAAATGTATCTAGCTGCACAATTAAGAATGTGCTCTAGTGTATAAATCATATCTCAATAAAGAAAAAGTACTCTAAAAAAGGAAAGAATATTTCTTTTGGTAGCATGTCCTGGCACTTTAGGAACAATAGATTCCCATAATTGTGCTGAGGAGTATTTTTCTCTTTCCTGTCCCCTGCTGAAGGCTAGCATCAAACAAAACAAAACAAAACTAAACAGAAACCATAATGCCTATGAGATTGACCATTCTGTGTCCAGTGAGGAGTGGCATCAATTTCAAATTGAATTCTTTTTATTTTATGACTCTTTCTGAGACAGAGCAGGGGGATGGGGGATTTGTTCATTACACCTTAACTTCTTCAAAAATTGAAGAAGACTCATCCACAAAGATCTCACAGCACATGGAGGATGAAGTGCTTTGGAGGGGATACAGATGAAGCAGTACGCAGAGCACAGTGCTAAAGGGCACAGGTGTGCAGTCGGATTACCTGCTCACAGAAAGCACTTGATAGGTATTAGCTACCCTTATTCAAATCTTAGCTTAATAAAGCCAATAGCACCTTTGAGCAACTGGTGAAAAATTGTCTGGCCTTATCTGATTCTTTAAGTTAGTGTGTGTGTATAGGAGTATATATGTTTTATAGCTGCGTGATGTGTGTGTATGTGTGTGTGCATGTGCATGTATGTACCACAAGAAGAGACTTATCTTTATATTAACCTGACGATCCTTTCCTATGAGAGATCACGTCTGCTGGATTTCTGGGGGTGATAAATAGCTTGTTTGCATCCCTACCTCTTGGCAGCAAGGAGCCCAGAGGAGAGTCAAGCCTTTTGCTAGAGAAATCATGGGCATTCTGCCAGGGAAAGTCAGGCACCCTAGGGAAAAGGTGATTCTGACTGAAGGGTAATTAAAGAAGCAACAGGACCATCATTTGGAAGTGAGGGGAAGATCAAGGAGAGTGAATGAAGACTAATGGTATAATGCTAACCCAAAGCTAAGTTTCTAGCATTGCCTGAATAATACATAAACTTGTAATTAAGATTAAAATGATGCCCTGTGGGAAATGTTCCTTTTGACCAGAAGAATTCAATATTTCTTGTGGTCATTAAAGCAAGATGATAAATCATCTTTTCATTCTCTTTTGGAAGTAGGAGAGTGGTAACTTAAGCCACAAAGAAAGTGCTGAGGTCTTTAGATGGAAGAACGGAGGCTGATGGGGGAGGGGCTGGGAGGATAGCAATTTCAGACTGATAGGTATCTTGGCAAGTCCTGTCAGCTGAAATCTGTGTTAAAACCCAGAAGGGTTGTGACTCTTCAGTTTGGTTATGGGATGGACGGTGGGGAGAGGACTGACTTGAAGATTTGAACTTTCAGGAGTTTTTCTTATGAGAAGTTGGTCTAAACCAGTGGTTCTCAACCTTCCTAATGCCACGACCCTTTAATACAGTTCCTCATGTTGTGGTGACCCCCAACCGTAAAATTATTTTCGTTGCTACTTCATAGCTGTAATTTTGCTACTGTTATGAATCGTAATGTAAATATCTGATATGCAGGATGTATTTTCTTTGTTACAAATTGAACATAATTAAAGCATAGTGAGTAATCACAAAAACAATATGTAATTATATATGTGTTTTCCGATGGTCTTAGGCGACCCCTGTCAAAGGGTCGTTCGACCCCCAGAGGGGTCGTGACCCACAGGTTGAGAACCGCTGGTCTAAACACTTTCTGGCCTACCAATCTGTATTTATTGAGCTTAGATTTTAGGCTTGAGGTCTTTCGATGAAGGATAGCTTGAGACTGGTCAAGCTCTCTGGATTGTGTTCTGTGAAATAACTATGTGGCCCCTGGGTGGCTGCCAATTCACAACACTCGGGAAGGTACAGAGTAATAGAGATTGGAACCTGAAAAATGAACCCGCTTACTTACCTCTTTTTAAACACAGGAACCAGAGCACATTGTCCAAAGTCACGCAGCCATTTACCAGCAGGGTGAGGACTTGAGTGCAAACATCTTGACTTAGCATCTAGGGTCCTGTCCTTTTTGTACAAAGGCCACATGAAGGGTAATTTCCATCAGAGACCCTGCTTAGTGCAGAAATCATTTTGTCAGCAAAAGGTATTTGCTGGTGCTTTTTACTTCTAAGAGCTGGTGATACTGAACATGGATTGAGAGAATTACAGACACATTTTTTTTAAAGGCTGCAGGTTTAGGGAATAGAATTTTATTGATTTCAACCAGCTATGAGATATGGTTTTATTATATCATCAATAAGAAAGAACATGGAAAGCTTCCCTTCTTCAGTTTCATCTAAAAAAGTCTTTACATTACCCTCCGTTCTGCTTGCTGGATTTTAGAACTGGGCCTATTGGAGGTGGCCAGGAGTTATGACCGTGTTACTGTGTATGAAATGGCTACTCCTGCAGCCGTCATGTGGCAAAGGTAGTGGCCGTTCTTTGGAAAGAACAGGGCTGATTCACAGACTAAATAAAGGGTTCAGTCAGTGATGGACAGTACAGTGGCTGTGAACTAATTTAAATAAGAAAGTATTTCTTTATTCCAGGTAAATTATATTAATTTCCTAGACTTTTGCTTTTAAAAACAATTAGGGCTAGTTACTGGAAACTAAATATTATATTGATTACTAATATTTTATTTTTATAATCAAACTTGGCATGCTTCTCAAGGCCACATTATATATTTGGCATTATTGTATGGTCCATGCATATTTTCAGAGGGTGCCATTCATATGACTCTGAGAGGGTCACCTTTGCAGCTTGT